TGACACTTAATATTAATTTTGTCCTTCGAGTTGGACATAGATTTAAAATTGAGCGATGAATAGTAGTAGAGTTTATTCGTTAGAAAATATTTTTGGACCTAAGACCTAATTTATCCTTTCTCTAAGACGGATGTTAACCTTACTGCGTTTAAATTGCAGTAACTAAAATGTAGTTAAAATCCTTATTAATAATTGCAAGATTACACTATTTACAAGCTTAATGTAATGGAGATGTGTTGCGTTGATAAATAGTTAAATAGCCACAAACAATTGTAAATAAAAAATTATAAAACATTTGCAAACATAGTAACTCAATGACATTTAAATAATAAATAAACATCGCTGATATTTATCGTGGAACATCGCCACGATGTTCAAAAGTATCCTCAATGTAACTGTAAATAATAAAGTTGAATGGAATGAAGTTAAAGAAAGAAAAAAAGGCAAGTCGTTTGAGGCGGTGAGTCCGCGCAGACGTTTGAATAAATCCGTTAAGGGTGCCCACTGTACAGTGCACACTGCACATGCCGCGGCCGAAGCCAAGGCGGGCAGCGCCGCGCGAGCTGTCGCATGCTGAATCTTGTCGACCGAGACTGAGGGTGTCCCTAGTCACGACCCTAATTATATCGACATCGATAACATTAATCCATAGGAATTTTAACGGATATGGTACAGATGTTAAAAATAATAATCTCAACACTTACCATATATTCCAACGTGGTGCGTTTGCGTGGTAAAGCAAATTGTAAATAAAACTTACTGTACTCGTTAAAGTCATGTATCACATGCAAAAGCTAACGTTTAAATTATTTAAAAAAAGATTAATTACTTTTCTGGTAACAATAACAATAGTCGAACAAATATAGTAGCATCCTTATAAGCAATAGGTCAGATTCCTCCAACAGGAATGCATCGATATCGAGCGTTGTCCCGTCGCGACGTGAGTCCTGCCCTGCGCGCAGCCACCTGCCGCCCGCACCCCCACGCTATATTTTATTCCACTTAATCGTCCTTTCCGTTATGTTGCCCGTTTTTTATTTATCCCGTACTTAAAGCAAATATTCCTGTTTGGTAAACCCTACACTGCCCGACCGCCCTATTAACTATAATAGACACTTTTAATTGAGAATCTATAAAAGGTTTCGCGAACTGGTGTCCGTATATGGCCGAAGCATTCATCATGGGAGCCGCGGTTCTCATCTGCCCAATTAATAAAAGTTGACTGTAAGGAATGGCGGACGACTCCGGCGACAGCCGCTCGCGCCTTCGCTGCGCCCTCGTACCGGTTCTGCCCGCAGCTGAAACATAAGTACCCACCGCCGTTTTATTTTGATTTACTTATCTATCAAACGTGTACATGTATGCATTACGAAGGTCTCGCGGCACCCGCCAGATTACACGTACATTCATTTGCAAGACCTCTAATCTGTTATTTTTTAATGCCAACTCTGCATCTGCTAACGTCAGTCGCTTCGAATATACTTTATTAAGGACCTGCTACGCTTTCTAGGGGTGAGGTTGCGTGTGTAAAAAAAGGTCATTGAGATGCCGTCGATCCCACTTCATTGTATCTACCGAAATCGAAAGATTTAAATTTGAAGTTCGAACAAAGGGAAAACAAAAACAGTCAGAAAAAGAATGATAAAAAGTAGTGCGGACGCGTGCCGGCGCGACATGTGCACGCGCCGCGCAGCGAGACTGGCCGGGGGAGGGGGGGAGATGAGCAAGGGAACGTGGGGTGCGTAACGGGCCGCGCGCGCCACGCGCTGCCGTTATGTTGCTGTCCCGCTAGAGGGCGCAGGGGGCGTGCTCCCTACTCTCTGCACCCTGAAGCACTTTCCCCCTGAAACCATACATTTCCCATGTGTAACTAAACACCTTGTAACCAAAACAGATTAACTACGTAATTAGATTTCCCGAGATTGCAACAATGGGTTAATCGAGTGAAAAATATCGTTAACTCGGGTGTAAATACATTTAATACTTAACGTATCAATTTCTCTATTGGAAAATTGTCCCAGAGGTATTTATATCTTTTCAGGTAGGTATAACAAGAGTAGCATCATAGTAATGTGCGTCAAATAACGTAATCTAGAACAAGCTGCATATTGTCACCACTTATTATTTTTCAAGTTCAATCCGCTTAGATAATATCGTACTAAAATGAAAAAAATAGTCAAGTCATAAAAGATTATCTGTGAGTGGTGCAACGTTGGAGATAACATCAGCGGCGGTTGTTAAAAAGAACGTTTTCGCAAATAATTGCAAATTAATTCTGAAACAAGCCAACGGTCGCGGAGCTGAGACAGTTGTGGTCAACCTTAGTGATTTTAATTATTTTTTTGATTTGTAATTTATTTATCATAAACTCGTTTTCTTTTAATATCAATTACAATTTGGGTTTGTAAAGCTGCTAAGTAATTTGATGTACTAACTGTCTTATTGTGTAAGGCAGATTTAAACCTTAATAAACTTACGGTAGAAAGCTTTATGCACAAATGCTTATTGTATGACTTGAAAGAAACGATAACTAAATTCGTCAGTCTAGAGACTAATGAATAAGAATAAACAAATTATAAGGCCGTTAACATCTAAAAAAGGCCGTACCTTTCTCGAAAATAAAATGCAACTGTAACAAAGGCTAAGCCCAAAATTATTAAATTTCCTACTGTCACTTCCTTTATTTCTCTTTATGCTTGTTTTTTTTTTTGAAAGAGAAAGGAGTAAATTGGCCTCAGCCACACGAGGCTAGTGAGAGCAACCGGAGGCAGTTTTTCACCTTGCGGTAGCAAAGTTAGCACTTTTTGGGGTCAAAACTCAAGTGGTTTACGCGTTCAAAATTAAGTTTTCAAAATAATGCGTAATATTATTGTGCACCATTTCAAATGAAACCTTTAGCTTCGCTTGAATAATTAAATAGAATTTTGTATATTGAATTTAAAAAAGAAGGACCAAGAGTTTCGTAACTCTACCTCCTAACATAGCGGCAAAGTTTTCTTTGAGGTGTAAGTAGCAATCGGATCCATCAATAAATTTAATATAATTTGTAAGCCTCAACAAATTGCTAATGTTTTTTAAATTGAATACTTTGTACAGTATTTAAAGAAAAAAATAGTGTTTTAGTTAACATTTTAACTTAAGGTAAACATAATTCTCAAAACAGGATCGAATATTTAAAAAACGTCTTTTTAGCAGAATTTCATGAATGCAAAAATGTCACTAATAAATCAGTTAATTTTAAAAAGCTCGTGCCAAACAACCGGATTGTAATTTGTTAAAAGTTGACGTAACCAAAGGTCAAAATAATACAAAGAATAATAATAATCAAGTTTGTGTTTGTAAGAACATATTCTTGCGGTTTATCATGCTGGTGTAATGTTGGTGGTTTTAGAGTTTCGCATTTTGTGGTGATGACGGGTGTTTGAAAAGTTTATCCTATTTAGAAATCTTACAATTTGAAGTAGTTACTAAAAGTTCTTAATATGTTGTATAAATTGCGTGACAATATTCTTTGTTTTGTAATAAAGCTTGAGAAATTAAGGGACCATTAAGTTCTCTTTATGTTACATGTCTTTGTGTTAACATAGAATGAGGTCAATATTAACAAAAAGGGGGGACGCACTGCCCAATATTCTGATTGGCCTAATTATTTATTAATGATTGTGAAACTCATGAACTACGATAAAATCAAGGCCAATATACAAACGGCCGGCAGACAGTCAGACAGCCGACAGACAGGTGTGGACTTGATTTAATAAAACACTTAACGGCGATAGTTTCTCTAAATAGATTTAAATTAACGTGTTTCTTTCTACTTAAGTATACGTTTTGAATTCTAAATTACTGTTTAGAAAATAATATTGATATAGATAACTAAAAGAGTAGCATATTTGATTTCTATTACATTCTCATAACGGAACTGAAAACTCGTAATAAAATAAAATGAAAAGTGAAAACCTCTTTATTGCCATCATACAATACATTTAAGGATATACAGTATTCGTATTAAATTTTTATTATCTGGAAAAAGTTGACTCGGGATAAAATCTTCCTTTATCATCGCCATAGGTCACTACTGAATATTTTATACATTATCTAATATCGTGGAATGTTAAGTAACATTATTTGAGGGCTTTTTCTCTATTTACAATTTACTTGTAGATTACGCCATCAATTATGTTGCGTCATTACACCGGTGCATTAGCACGTGTTATACTTTTATGTTGTTTATGACACTATTGACCTTGAAAAAGTTTAAGCATGTAATTGTAATAAACAGTTCCTTTTTATATTTTTCGTAAAAAAAAAAAACAAAATACATTAGATAAAAATTTATAGGTCCGAGTATCTTTGTCAAAATAGCAATGTAAATTATATGTTTTAAAGCATATATTTTTCATAGCTTATTTGGAAAGTCTTACTCGAAATACACTTTAAGTAAAATAGTGGAATCTATAAATGCTTAATGTAAACAATAATCGGTTTTGTTTCGCAAGGTTTCTAAGTTCACATCTAAGCTAGGCCCCGCCCGGCAGCGCGCGCGGCCAATGGCGCAGGGGGGCGGGGCGCGCGCCGAGGAAATCTAAGCTCCAACGCTCTCAATCACTTAACTACCTTAAAACTATTCAACAAAATCTACTACGCGACATTGTTAGTTAACAAGAAAAGAAAAAATAAAAAATATAACGCCTTAATGCAGCGATCAATTCGCAGGCAACAGCCGTGATACGTAACGAGGCAACGTAATGCGACACATTAAGAAACCTTACATTTGCCTGCATTAATACTCAAAAGACATTTTTCAGCGCATCCTGAGGCGGCGCAAGACGATGTGCAATTAGCGAACGGTGGCGGTGTGCGGTGCGAGGTGCGGGCCACCTGTCAAGTCGCCGTTTCATCAAATCATTTCTTTATTGCGCAGCCTCCGCCTGACCTGCTCTTTTTTGTGAGCGTTTTGAAAAAAGAACGTTATCGCGGATGAGTCGGGTAGGTCGGGGCGCGCGAGCCTCGTTTCAGTCAGGTGCCAGGCGCCGAACACTAAACACTGTGCCGGCACGCGAGCCGACCCCATACAGCCTTCGCACGTCCACTACGACACAACTTGCAGCTTTTTGAAGTACGTTTTCAAAAGCTCTACAAGTAAAATGAAAATTTATCACGCGTTTGGAATTTATTTGTAGAGAAATAATTTTGTTGTGATCTTCAGCCAGTGATTGAGTGTAATCTGTAGTGCTGAGATTTACCGCCCAAGGTAAGATTCATTTACAATACTTTAAATAATCTGTTGTTATTAATAATTTATATTACGGTGATTTTTATTGTGACTTGAGTTAGTTCAACTTCTAAGGTTATTCATCAATATTCCGCAGCTTGTGTTGCATTTTAATATGTTTTATTATAATAAGATAACTATTGAATATGTTATCATAAACAAAAACAATTCAATTAACGGCAAAAATTATTATGAATACTTTTACTTGATTTTCTCAGGTTCCTCTTAATTTTAAACTGAACTAATTGATTTGCACTGTTTGTTGCAACAGCAATTATTATGCAGATTAACAAATCTGCTTAGTAATTATAATTTTTACAGTCTTAACAATATTGATTTATTGAAATACATCGGTATACTAGTTGAAAGGTAATTTAATAAATAAACTCTTCCCAGTAACATCGTTAATTCAAAAAAAAACTTTATTTTGGTTTCATCTTTAGTAAATTACAAAAAAATACAGGTAATAACAGCCATTACAATTATTAAAGGACAATTAAATTTTAAACAATTCAAACTAAATCATGTATGACTTTGAACATAATATTGGAATATTTAACTAAAAATATCTTATCCTTGAAGTTAAATGAATCACGTAGACATTATTGGCATTTGAAAGACTTTTCATGAAAAACCGTACAAACAAATAAAAAACACCTGAATAAAGGTAAGTATTAAGTTTAAATTATTTCCAACAAATAAACAAATACAAGAAAATCAACTTTTAATATACAACCTCGTTCGCTTTAGATAACGAAAAAAAAGTACATTACATTTAACACAAAAATTTATATTCAAATTAAATGTTTTTGATTACAATTTAATGGTTGATTTCCATTGTTCTAACACTCATATGGTACTATCTCAGCTATCTCAAGGTGAATGATAAGGATGACAATATTTTGTATTAACACTTCGGCAGTGGAAGCCCACTTTCGTGATATTATCTCATACATTCTAGAACTCATTTCTTTATTTGTTATGTCACCGATGTACACGATGAATACTTTCAATCAATAGTTTTAATACTTCAAGGAATGTATTTAGTTCCGTTTCCTAATCAGGTGTCTACTCTTGTGTTGTACGGAACTTAATTGCGGTATTACGATTTTAACTATCGTGGTTCCTATAAAAAAACAACTTAGAAGGTACACAATAACTTGATATACCATACTAAGTTAAGAATGTAGAATCTAAATAAATGTGATATCAATAAAAACGTTTAAAGATAATAACGATTTCGCGCTGTTTGATTTCTTCAAGTAAACACTTGTTCCGATTCCCATCGCACGGTATGAAAAAATAGGTGGCGAATGAGGCCTGGTAATTACCGCACGGCGAACTAATAAAGACTTGCTTTATTGAAACAAGAAATTGCGACACTCAACCCCCGCATAGGCCGGCTCGTTACTCAATTAGTCGTAATAGCGCAATTGCATTCACCTGTTTCGTGTACATTGACAGAATCTTCATTAGCGCTATGCAAAATTCATACAAACAACAGCTTTGTACGTAAACTCACACTCTGTATGTCGATGTTCGTGTAAAATACAAAGATTACGTAATAAATTTTTTTTTTTTTTTTTATTTTACGGAATAATTTATTTGTTAATCTGAATCTTAAATAAACTTGTGTATATCTGACGTGAAGACATCATCAGGATCTATCACAAAATATTATTTAAATAATCTCTTCAGACTATCAAGTATCATGTAAAATTCGCTTTCTTAAAACAAATCAACAAAATCATGTATTCAAACAACACAAAGTCATTATCTCCTACATCTTAATTCCTAATAACCACCATACTACAGTAACGCAATCAGACTAATTTGAAAATTTAGCAAATCATTACTTGATCGTAATCTTGTCACGATTTAGTCGCGTTATGAAGTTAGTTTGACATCGTTCACAAATTCATTCCATATCGTAACACGTTTTAGACTAATGAAGATTGTTTGAGGGCGGCGTGCATTATTAATGCGCGTACGCAGCGGGCGCCATCGTCCACCGCCACCCGGCCGGCCGTCGCTTCCATTATTCTGATTCTTCATTTACTTGATTGAGCTTTTAATGTGATTCGATGTCAAACAAGCGACTGGATTAATCAGACCTAGAGACCTGTCAACAAAAACTCATACCGCAATACGCTTTAATGGCAATGGTCACGTCAAATACACAATTTTATACAAATATTTAGGTGCGCCTCGAAAAAGTATATTAGGAGTATACCACTAATTTACAATGTATTTACATATCAGTATTACCGGTTTGGATTTGAGAATAAAATACGTCGTTTTTATACATACATAGTTTGATACATTAATATTTTATACTCGTATATTAAACAGTTTCCATTTCCTTTAGGATGTCTCGTCACGTACTGCTGTCACGCCTGGCGGAACAGTTCCAGTCGTCATCTCCGCCGCCGGTCCAGCGCTTCTCATCTCCTACGCGAAGCCCCTCTCCCCACTCCCCCGTGTCCCCGCACTCTCCACCACACTCCCCAGATTCCATATCCCACCACCGGCTGGACCTCCTTCAACTGGGAGACATTGAAATCGCGGGCAGAGCGCTTAAGCAATACGCTCGGGCGACTGGTAAAACTTATATATTCTAACAACAACATAACAACAAGAAAATAATTAACAAGTTAACAAGACTACAACATACATCGATTTAATAGGACGAAGATTAATAAAAGTTTGTTGCTTCAGAGTTGGGAGCGCTGATGTACTGCAGTGGGTTGGGCGCGCTGTACGGCGGTGCTGGCGTGTGGCCTCTGCTCATGCCCAGGACCTCGCCACAGTACGCCCTGCCGCCCCTCGACCACATCAGACACACGCCTCCTAGAGATGGTAACTGGACTATTTTAAACGTACTTCATTCAATACATTTACAACACAATTGCTTGTAACGACTGAAAACATCGTGAAATAATTTTATCAATGGAAATAACTCTAATTTCGATAAAGTTAGTGAGGTTTACTACAAAGCGCTGCATTTAAAGAATGCAATGTTAGCAAAAAAAAGTGTCGTCTTTAAGTAAGCAGAAAAAATCGTACAAATGAACACTCATTATGAAACTCGTATTCACCTCGGCCTCCTTACGACTTCTTCTATACGTGCCTCATTAGAATAGCTATCAGTTTCGTTTGCCGATTAATAACTCGTACCACTGATATGCTGTCGTTTACATGTCGTTTACCTCCGCAAGCGGAGCACGCTTACATGCTTCCTACGCGCCAAGGAAAAGCACTTCATGCCTACGAAATGAGCACTCATTGTCATTGTGTTCTTTAAGTATTTAAATTAGCTGTTATCCGTGCGAACCAGTTTCGACGTGACGCCATAGATACTGCTACAAATGAACCTAGATTCCAAAACAATTTGATTTCTTTAAACAACTTTTTATTAAACAACAACTAATTTTAAATCTATCACACTGCAACATTCTTGATTGTGTTCGATGTGGTAAATACAAGTAAATAGACCCGCGAATCAAGCAAATATGTAGTGTATAAGAAAATAAGCTGTTTGTCAGTCAGTAAAATCATTCGAGAAGTAATGTATGAATGTACAAAACATCATTTAATATCGACCGTATTAACTAGGAATTTAATTCTGGTGAAAACACTGACGTAATCAGTCGATAAACATTCGCACACCTGTACAGATTTCATAAGTCTTTTCAAAAACGTCCTATTTGACCCGAATGTCTTTACAATCAACGGCGGGCATCGCGTGAAGAGCGTTAAGGTCAAACATTTACTGTAACTGTTTGTTTTAGATGACGAGGAAGAGCTACCGCTGAATCTCTCCATGAAAAACCGTCAGATTTGGTCTCCGGGCAGCGCATGTGAACGCGAAAAGGGAGAAATAGGAGAAGAATCACCGAGTTATCGATGGGAGAGCAGGGAAGATGATGAGACTCCGTTAGAGTTAGTGAAGAGGTGTCGCAGCAGCCCCGATGATTCCGAGAGAGCGGCGAGCGCTGAACATCGTTGTCCCTCAGCTCCCGTCCCCACATTCCCTCCTCCCGCGCCGACTGGAGACATCAACTTCACTCTTCTACTCAAAAACGAGAACAGAAACGAAAAATCATTCCAGGTATGTCTACAACCTATTTTTATAACACGTCGCCGCCGCAATCGGCCAATAAATAGCGACATCCTTTGACAAGATCGGAATAACTGTACAGTTTCCGTTCGAAATGGTTTAAAATAGCAAACCAGTACCAGCTTCAGTGTTTTTTTACAAATCAAATAGCAAAAACTGCCCTTGTCTTAATAAGTACCGTGGTATCTCGGCGAGACGCGCGTCCCTGCGCGCGCCCGTCGCCCGCCGCTCCTCGGCCGCAGCTCGTCTCCGCGCCATTTTTATACGTTTCATTTTTATTTCCACCGAGTCATTATAAAAAATCCGCATCGGTTTTAATCAAAATTCCAACTTTTAATATCACGGCGAGGCGGTTTATAATTGGAGGAATAATTACCTTGTGTCATACGAAGATAACAGAAGCCATTGCGCCGCTAAATATTAAAAAAAAATACGTACATCGCTATATCGGTGTCATTGGCATTTCTTTGTTTTTACAATTAAATATGTGTTGAAATATACATTAAGTAAATTACCGCCTATTAATAATATTAATGCTTTAAGGATAGTAATTTAAGGAAATCAGAAAAAGGCAGTTTTCGAAGATCTTTGATATCGGTATCTAATATTTAGTTCAGTGTGAATCAGTCACTTAGATATAAGATTAGTCATCAGAGCCATTCAACTAGCTTATGCTGGGTAATTTTTACATTAATTATGGATTTAGCGGTTTTAGTAGCCGCAGATGGCTTAACGGCTAAACTACTGGAGTGGAACCAATCGTCGAATACACAATATTTACAACAAGGACTACAGAAAAAAAAACTACAATTATTTTTAAATTCTATAAAATAAAGTATCAAACAGTTTTAATTAGGAGAGTTTTGATAAGATAAGTTAAACGTATTTATTATACGGTGCGCGGGTTCCGACCTATTTTCCGTTCGTGTTTTGTGGCGGGAAAGCGCGCGAGCGGTATACTTTGGCGGGAAGGGACGCGTGCGCGCCACGCGACTGCGGCACCCCGCGCTCGCGCTCGTTCCAACGCTCCTATATAATTGCCCACACCGGACACATCGCTTTACGTAATTTACATTTGATAGCTTGATAACTCGTGTTACAAAACCCTTCGTCGAATAAATCATTAATGTTACAATTACTATTCTAGAAGTTATCAAATTAACCACAGATGATGATGCCCTTTCAAGGCAAAACATGTAAATTATCTCGTGCAGCGCATTTGCCCCCAAGGGTTGAAGGTGACTACAATTAATACAAGTAATTATAGCAGTAATTCGATTTTCCGAATGTTTGCGGGTGGGCCTTTTTAATTACACGCAAAATAAATAGTACCTACCAGTTTTGAAGTACATACAATGTTCGTAAACGTCTTTTGTCTTGCTTTAGGACCCAAATACTTAAGAATTTATCGATATTTGTAAAGAACTTGTAAAAACTGTTTTACCCACTTTAATCTCCACAATTTTCATTTGATAACAAAACCAGTATTACTAAGACTATGTATGTAATCATTACTTTAGCAAATGATATCGAATTTCGGGTCAATCACCTTTAAAGTAACTGGAAAGGAAGGTAACCTAAAAGGCAATAAATAACCCCAAGACTTTTAACTGCACCTTAACTTTTTTCAATTCGACAGACTCCTTTAAAAAAATGTCCGTCTATGCGCGGGGTACGGCCGATAACCATATGTGGACGGTCATGGCCCAGCACCTGTGTTGTTTATAAGAGAGTCCATCGACGTTATAAAAAGACGAAAAAACTGGTAGTTTTTGTTGGCGCGAGGCGAGGCAAGGCAGGGCGAGGCGATGCGATGCGATTCGAGGCAGCTGCCCCGCCAACTGTCACAGGGGCCCGCTACGCGGATTTGTGCCGCGGATTATCATTCGCCGCATATTTAACAACTAACCAGCCGACTAATGGTTTCACAACTTTCTTTTGTAAAGCAAAATGAAAGTATGAGTCAACATACGCATTTAATGCAATAAACAAAAAATAATTATCCCGAATTATCAAGCTATTGAAGTTATTTAGTATCCCAGTCCCTTGTCGTCACCCATGTTACTTATATTTAATCTTATTTTAAACATCAAACACAAATTGTATAAAACTTTGTATGGTAGTTTAAACAAATCATAGCCGCAGATCATTCTTGTACGTAGTAACGTCTAAACAATGATTTTGTATTTCTCTTTAACAAACAGTTACGACACATACGACGCGATATTACAAGTACCGAAAACATCTGAGTAAATAAATCTAAAAATGTTAACTTTTGTCCAACAAGTATGCGTACTTGTGGACGGAATATTAAAGCAAAGGAATAAGAATTTGTTTACCGACCACGGAGGTACCTCTTCCAAATGTCGCTTTCTCAAACATCATTACGATACAACGTATTGCACTAATAACTCTACCTATTCTAGTTATTAAATTACGTTTGTACATAACACAGTAGAAGAAGAAAACACAACAAAACTCTATAAAGCAGCAAATATTTGATTTATAACATATCCAGATTTAAAGGAATCAATAAAACCTAAGCTTAGGTTTTATTAAAATTAAAAAGTAAAATTACAAAAAATATCTTAATGAATAACTATAATATTTTTCTGATTAAAACAAGGGAATAAACATTGATAATCATACATATTGGAACAAAAGCAAAACACAAAAGACATAATGGATGTTTATTTTAAGAAATGTAGAGCTCTTAAATTGTTAAATTAAAAAAACACAAATAAATCCTAGCATACCAAAAAACCACCCTATGATCTACTAATTAATAGACAGAAAAAAGTACAAGGCATTAGGATTATTACGGAATATCAAAGGAACGTGTAGAAAGGGCCATGTGGTCTGTTATTACAATATTACTGGTTGCCAACAGAGGTGATGGACGGCGACAGGTTACTTGGACGGATAATTACATTAGTAGTATATTTAATTCAATATTCTACCTTGGTAAAGTCAATTGGAAATGAAAGAAAAGTGTTAAATCAATCCTATGATTAATATCTGTAACACTATTGTAAATGCATCCTTAGTATTTGAACATACACATAGTATTTGAACATCTTTGATAAAATTGCATTAGTCTGTATTTATTTCAAGATATTTATGGTAAAATAATGCCCTATTAAATGTTATCTAAAAGCGTGCGCATACCTGAAACGAAACTATCGTACAACTGTTCAGTCGCGAGAAGCACTGCTCGATTTTTAGTTGTGAAAATAACAGTTGTATTGACTGCGAAACAGTCGACAGTCGACAATCTCATAAAGATGTAGGATAGTTTAGTCAAAGGAGTGCGCCCGAATTCTCTGTCATCTTTTTAAAAATTTAAGCTAACAAGTTATCGTAATTTAAAAATTTCTGTCCAGTGCAAGCAATGCGGCAAATGCTTCAAGCGATCGAGCACACTCTCCACTCACCTGCTGATCCACTCGGACACGCGGCCCTACCCCTGCCAGTACTGCGGGAAGCGCTTCCACCAGAAGTCGGATATGAAGAAACATACCTACATACACACAGGTAAACAAAATAAAACAAAACGTTTATAGAAACTAACATACAACCAAACGATGTTCTATTAATCTTCTAATACCACATTATTGCATTTAAATCCGTTCATCCGTTTTGGTAATACTCGGTAGAAAAGATTCATATAAAATTTATTAATTAAATTAGTAAATACCATGTCGATTATTAATTCAGAACAAAGCATTTGCTAAACTATGTTTTTCATCCTTATCTTGGCATAAAAACTGAGAAATGTAACTTGTTAGCTGAGACATATAATCTTCTAACAGTTGAGGCCATTGACACTACAATATCTGTGTTGACTTTTACGTCCGTCTTAATTTCTCACTTTATTCCTTTAAATACAAAATTAAAATAAGTAAAAGGTCTATTGTAAAATTAATTAAAAGTCGTTTAGTACAAAGCTATTAAGAAGCGAGGTTTTACTAGTTTCCCCTCGTACGCGTAATTATAGGTGTACTGTAAAGTTATGTCACTTACCGCTGTTATTAGAGTTCAACGCGTTGAAGTTGTATTTGTGAATAATTCGTGTGGAAAATGAATTATTTAATTGCAATGAATCGTAAGACTCTGTCGAGGAGTTTAATTAATAAAGTAATAGAATCTGTGTGCCAATTATCGTATTTCTTAATTTTCTATTTGTTTTATGAAAAACAAAATTACGAACGTCAATTTTCAATTTATTAAAATATAAATATGAAGTTAAGGAGCGTAAAAAAAACTAGTAACATCCAAATACAACAGATACCGCAACGTAGCACAGGTTAAACATATAAATGGGGTGTAATTATATTTTCGTCGGTGAATCGCGGCCGGTTTACGCGGTAATGAATTGTCAATGAGCAAAAAACATGAATCGACTACGAGCTGCCGGACCGCGGCCGCTCGAATCATCTTGTCTGAGGTCGCGATTAATATAAGCATTGTCCATACTTCGATACTTATTTATTATAATTTGCCTTAAATTTCACAATTATTCAGTTTTTTGTATTATTGGATAATATAGCTACCACGTCATGAACATTAGTTTAAATGTTTTAATTGTTAATTTTATTAAAACAGATAAAAGCGGTGCTTCATACTTTTCCTATAAAAGTGTAGTTTTAAACTATGAACTACTTTATTTACCTAACTTGTACTTAAAATCTCAATGAACTGTAGATAACTAGTTTAGGAGTTTAAAAGTAAAATTATATTCGAATAAAAACGACAAACTTACCTTAGTTTTATTTTATGAAACGACTATTTAGGTCACATGCAACTTCATCGAAAACATGTTCTTGCGCCGTTCTTTACTGCACCGACAATATTATTTTTATCGGTCGGGAAGACGAATTCAGGTGTATAAAAAATAGTTTGCGTACATATTGTCCGTCGTCTGCGACATCTCGTCACGTATGAACGGCGCGCCGAATGATTTACTGCACCCGTACATGGGCCCCGTCCTCCGATAAATGCATCATGATCAATATTCCGAAATGCGGTTCGTCTTGCAATTAGCCGCGCAGCCTTCACAGACCTTCGCGCGGCGATCACTGCACAAACAAAAAGTGCAGTTAAATCCTGTTCCATCTATAAAATTGCATCGGTGCTTTTTTCAAGTTATTTTATCGACGTCTCGCCGCGGGCATTTGTCAAACTAGTGACAGCTTACGTGAATATTTGCATCGGTAATCTATTTTTTAATGCCTTTTGATTAAAAATAATTATTAGATTAATTAATAGTTAAAGGTCGGAATAACTTTCTAGCAATCAATAATAATTAGCATTTGTTATAGTAGCATTTTTTTTAAACAACAAATAACAATATAATTGGACTCGAAGAAGAACGTGGAATTTTTGTCCTACATTCTATTTCTGGTGTAAAATGTTTTGATGTTACCTTTTTTAATCTAATTTAATTTTAAATGTTTGTTACTCTTAAAAATTGTGTCGCACTCCAGATGCAATTATAAAAATAATTTTATACCTAACAAAATAACATTTGTTGCAGGCGAGAAACCACACAAGTGCGTCGTGTGTTCCAAAGCGTTCAGCCAGAGTTCGAACCTGATCACCCACATGCGCAAGCACACCGGCTACAAGCCTTTCTCATGCGGACTCTGTGACAAGGCGTTCCAGCGCAAAGTCGATCTCCGCCGCCACAGGGACTCCCAGCACGCGGACTCCTTAGACCCACCGCAAGCACAAACACGGTATAGATATTACGAAGACTCACCAACTCCGCTTACCCCACTTATCAGTAACTAATTTTTTTTTAATTGTTCAAAGAAAAGTTAATTTCCTCTGCCACACGCCTGTAATAACACTTTGTTATTTCTGATTGGATGGATGAATGAGAACATGTTTTTGTACATGAGTTTCGGCAGTGGCACTTCCACTATCGTAATATTCATTGATGCACTAGTGTAATAATATTCTGAAAGTGTATGTGACTTGCGAAAATCGATAGAATGGGTTCTTTTCATAATAGATTCATCGTTTAAAAAATACGTAAATTATTGAAAATTAACCTAACATATTATTCAAAAATGGCAACATTTTATTTGCTTAACAATTATTCGATTAATATTTATTAATCTAAAAGAATTTTAAAGTGTAATTTTTACGATTTACATGTAAGTGAAATTGTTAACAAACGGTAACCAAAGAGTTTTTGAACAATACTAATGCTTTCACGTATACTGTATCATTTAAAGGCTTTTGTATAATAACAGTAGAAGTCGTCCGTTCAAATGGGACCCAACTTGTATGGATACCAATCCGTCCTAGTTTATGTGATATATTTACGAATAATTTTATTGTACTTTAATTTATTTCACATATAAATATTTCTGATATGATCATTTGAATTTTATAAAGAGTGTAGATAACTGTAGGTACTTCTTTAGTATTTAATAAGATATCGACGTAAAATAGTTATTAATTTAAATAAGAAAGCTTATAAATTGGTCTGAAATTAAGATCAATAAGTGTACATATTATTGTAAAATGACTGCAAGAGTATTGTTATATCTGCGCTTAATTACTTTAACGTAATATCAAAATAAGTAATAATAGAATAAGTTTTATAATAAGTAAGTTAAAAGTAACATTTATATTGTTCCTGTGTCGTTTTTTGATCCTTACATACTAGCCGAGTTTAAACAAGTACAGCCATAATGGGTGTTGCCAGCTAATAAACTAGAGGGGGGAGGATAGCTAGCATTAAATAATCTTATTCGAAGTAGTTTTTACATCTATTTTACATTTTTCAATTCTATAGGGGGCAACCTAATCCTCCTCCTGACGATGCCCATGATAAACACATAATATTAGCAATAGTTTACCATTGGATTTGTTAATTTAGTAATAAACTAGTTTTGTGTTGATAATCACTAACTACGCTTGGATCAAAGTGTAAGTAAATAGTCTAGTAAAAACCAAAGTAAAGTGTATTGTAGTCTAAAGTGAAACGCTTTATTTATTAAATTTAGTTGACGCAATGTTATATAAAACGAACGCTTCATCAGTCATTTACATGTAATATTTTAAGTATTATTTTTAAGCAAATTGTACGATTTATAATAATTTTAATTGCCTTAAATGGGACTATATGCCATTACTTGAGTAAGTTTTGTATAAGCACTGTTTGATATTTAATATTGTGAATTACCATTTCGAAGCTACCATCTGGTTACCATTATAGGAGTCGGTTACCACAAGTTATGTGAGAAAGCGAATAACAAATTTTAATTGAAAGGGAATTCGTATCAATGCTATAAATTTGTTCGAATCTAGATAACCTGCATTTAGGATAGATTGATAATTTTTAGTCATGTTCGATAAGACGAATATTTTAAAGTACGAGGCTGTTTGTAGAAAGGCTGCACAACTGTATATTAGTAGCCTGTAAGATAAAAATTGTATTACTAAGTTTACTTTTTTCAAGTTTTGTGAGAAAAATTACTATGTTTAAGATATATTGAAATGTTTTCTTATCCTGATGGTGTCAAGTTTGAAGCTACGCATGATATGTAGATAACGGCTAGAACACCAAAGAAAATCAACATCTATGTTTATTTATGTGTATGTAAACATGTAAGGATAATTACGTGCAACAGTTATCACTGTATACGCTGAACATTCCACTTCAGAAATTGTCATATTGCAAACTGCACGGTTAAACCGATGTCTTGCCTTCACGTTTGAATATTAATGTACGTAGAATATTGCAAATAGACGACACAAAGTTTCGTCAAGATTGGTTATTTTAATAATAATTTTTAGTTCATTAAGGCCAGTTTAATATAAATATTTATGAACAGTATTTTTTGATTTTTTTTTTTACCTACCTTAACAACATCTAGATCCAACAAAGAGTTTATTTTAACACAGTCCATCTCAAAGATATGGGTAATAAGAATTTAGATAAGCCAGAAAAAAATTCTGAAAATTCCAATAGAAAGGAACTAAGCAAATTATTTCTTATTAGTAATTATTTTAAACCACAAAATATAAAAACTTGTGAACCCAAGCACAGCACTCACAGGTCTATTAGACTAAAACCTATGTACTATTCCAATAATAACGAATTAAAATAATTTTACATACTAAAATAAAAGTATAATAAAATTACAAGTGGGACCTAAGGCCAGGTGTTTACCATAAGCATTTTTAATCACAATTTAAAGTGCTGGTTTTATAGCGTACTTAGAGGTGATAAAAAACGTCATCAGGAATCATATATTCCTTTAAAAATCCCAGCCTCGATAAGTCGGCCTGTTGACGTATAGGCCATTTAAATATTTTATGGAATAATAATTTCACTTAAATAACAAAACTAATATATCCGTGTTAATATTACGTAAATACTGAGTATTCACAACAAACAATCAGAAATAAATGCAGATAATGCCATATTCTATTTTCCACTGCATATAATCACGATGCATAAACCTAAGTAATTCAAAAGCTTACTTACTTCTACTATAATTAAAGGGTGTTTTCGTATCATTTAGACAAAACAACTTTCAACATATCCATTGGTCGTGTTCTATGTATAAAACAATCAGTAGATAGACTTCGTCTACTTAAATAACGCAATGAAAACAAACAATTACGAGATATGACCAACACATTACGGACAAGCTTTCCCGCAATCCATTTGAAATTAATAGTGTTTGTCGTAGCATTTTCATTTCATATCCAACTGTAATATAGTAATGAAATCAAAATACCGACGCTCGCGTGTTCTTGATCAATTACTTTATGCAATAAAGAGAAGCTATTGTTTTGAACACCATGATGTGAAAGTTATACAAGCTTTAATGAAAATATGATGGAATGGGTATGATATCTGCCTCTAAGCAATGATCCAGGATTGTCATTTAGGGGGGAGCGAAGTTTAATTTAACTACGATTAAATACTGATTACTTACGAAAAAAAAATTGCCTCTTATGTTCCAAGTACTTATCGAATACATTCCTGGTAATGTTTTACATGTATTCTTTATATAAAGTACAAACGTTTGCGTTTAAAAGGTTTCCCAGTTGTCATTTGTTATATTGAATTAAGTAGTAAGCTTCCGCTTACCCCTTTGACTGCCGCCATTACGATTTTTGTAATACAGCTAAGTAGGGATAAAGAAACAATTGAATCCGTATAAAGAGCTGCACTCGCATTGGAGAATCCTTAATGAGATTTATTACGATCTAGGAAAGATGGCGACCCGTGCGTTAAAGCACATAAGTCGTAACAAGATAGAAATCTTATAACAAATTACAGTTTTACACATCGTGTCTCAGGTGTGAGCGTCGTAGGCGCAAGGGTTCGAACACTTGACTTACATGTCGTGGGTTCGAATCCCGCCATGTACCTATGTGATTTTTAATTTTTCAAATTTTTCAGTTTTTCCTACGGTAAAGAAAAACATCGTGATGCAACCTGCACATATCGGCGAAGAAATTCAAAGATATGTGTGAAACCAACCAACCCGCACTTGGCCAGCGTGGTTGACTATGGCCTAGTCACCCAACTCCGAGCCCCTCGGTGGACACGTATAGTGAGCTGGTGATGATGGTGATGATGACATCCTGTCTTAAAGGATTTCACTTTATAAGATACATACCTTATTAATTGTAATTTTACTTTCTCTTATAAAAATCATTTCTCTAACTCTCTACGCATGTTAAAACGATATTCTTTGCGATCAAGAAATTTTGCGTTTGGTAGTTTATGATTTTTTGATATAAGGGTCCCAAGTTTGTTTGATGTGTAAATTCCAGTGGCTATCGAAGACTCCATGACAGAGCAAATGTTTTTATGTTTTACATGAACATGTATTTCTAAACACAAGTCTGTAGCTGTTGTTATTGAACAATATTGACATATGAACTCGTGTTATTCTCTTCTCGTTTCCGATAAGATTATGATAAGCACGAACGCGGGGACATTGACTGGGAATTATATACACACTAAGAATATTTCTTCTTAAGCTACTATTTAATAAGCCCTAAAACTGGTATGCGCTGTTCACATTTGGCCAGTATAGTTGGACAGCTGTGACGGCCAATCATAGATTGTATGGACTTACTGGTGCGACTTAGAGTTCACACTATGCCAGTTGATTTCCAGTCCAGTTATTGAGCGTTATTGACCCAGTTGGTCACTGGCAGGGTGTGAAACGCGCATTAATTGGTATTCTAATTGGTATTGACATTCGACTTACTTGTATAAATGCACAGTGATTTATTACCGACACCCTACGCTCGCTAATTGCTGAATAAATACAATCCCCTCGGCGCTATTTTACACTTTAGACCCCTTTTGCACTAAAGGACTATTACATTATTTAAAGACGTAACCGCGGCAGTGGAACTTCATTGCAATAAACTAAGTATGTTTGTATATCTTATTTCAATATAGAAGAAATTAAGCAATTTGGGAAAACGTCAAAATACGTAAATGGCTTTTTTAATTAATTTGTAAAAAATCGGAGAAAAAGTGAAATGATATTTGGTAATAGGTTTATACATTGAATTATTAATTATAATTAAATTATTGTATGGGTTATATGTTGACCAGGAATATAAAAACATTCGCTATATTGCGGTAAAATATGGAACTAATTTCTTCAAAAGTTATACAAAAAAAAACATACAGACGAATTGAGTACCTCCTTCTTTTCAGAAGTCGGTCAAAAAACGAATAATAGAATGAGCGCAAAACAGTCTGAAGTTAAAATTGAAGATGGCTCTGAAAATATATTCAAGTAGCCCTTTCCTTATTTAACAATATGAACAGTAAAATTATTAACAGATAAGATTGGTATCATATTAAAATATATTGAATTTAAATATTCCCAAATAACATAAAAGTAACTTTTGATATATATAAGTACTGTTAACACTTCTTATTAGAAAAATAATTTTAAATCCTTAGAGATGGGAATAAAAACAAGTTTAGCTATAATCTGTATATTAATTACATTTTTAGTGTGTGTGTTACACAAAAATATATCACAGGATATTAGCAACAACTTGGCATTTAGAAATTATTAATCATCCCAATTAACTTGGTGACAATCATGCCACACAAAAGTACCTTTTAAACTCTGAGGTGCTTCTAAAGCTAAGAAAAGTGGAGCATATGCCCCACGCTCTGGTGAAAAGTCCCCCATGCCATTTGTCATATCAGTTTTAATAAACCCTGGATGAACACAATTGATTGATACATTTTTACCCTGTTCATTGAACTCACGTTGCTGGACAAAAGTTAAAGCGGACAGTGCCACCTTTGACACTTTATAGTCTCCATAATGGCCAGCAAATGATATATAAGAGTTTCTGCCGTTCTTTGCTGCTTGCAGAAAATCATCAATAAACTGTAAAATCTCATCCAAACTCAGATCTTCTTTAATCAATGTGTCTAGCCAGTTTTGCTTTCTGATGTTTGAAAGCAATCCCCAATCACTGCTTATATTAATAACGCGAGCATCATCTTTTAAAAGTGGATAGATGATTTTTGATATCGTTAGCAAACTGTAAAAATTTGTATCCAAAAGTTTTTTTGAATCTTCATAGGAAGTTATAGGCTTATCGAAATCTAAAACGCCAGCATTATTCACCAAAATGTCTATCCCTGAGTGATGTTTATATATATACTGTGCAAACTCTTGAACACTGGTTTCATTTGTAACATCCAAGATGTGAAACAAAGGTTTTAATCCTAAGTTTTCCAATTGTTTGATGGCTTGTCGACCTCTCTCTTCATTCCTAGCTGTAAGGTACACAGCTCCATCATATTTGTAACATAAACCTTTAACGATTTCGAATCCTATACCTTTGTTGCTTCCGGTTACTATTGCTACTTTGGTGTTCATTTTGTATAAAACAAGTTAGAAATAATACAGGTAAAACATACGAGACATACTACGCTGCAAAAATAAATATTTATTTTCTTGACATTTTAGCGCCGTGTGATTTTGACGTTTCGTCACAATTAGAATTAGGGTTGTCGATTGTATTAAGTTATCGTTTTTTCATTCAGTCGATGTTACGGTTTTTCTTTCAAATACAGTACCACAACTTTATGGTTTCTTTTAAACTTAAAAAAATCTTATAATGCATCTAAACGTGTAATCTATTTAACCACTGTCTTTCTTATTAACCTGGGTCAACATTGAAAATGCTTAACAAAACACTAGTTATTTAAGACAAAGCAGGATAAAAATAATACGAATTTAGTAAAAAAAAATGGATATTCAAGATTCATCAGAGACATTTTATAGAGTTATCTACATGTTCACTATTATGCATGTACAGTCGAAGAATTTAATTTGCTTACTACTTAGAGTCGGAAAACAACAAACTCTTACTAATTTGGGTAGTATGCCGCTATTACAAGTTATCCAGTTAGCAGCATAGTAATAGACAAACAATTGACTGAATTAGTCGGATATAAAATAACTGCTCTCGATTGCATGTTAGTATATAAAATGTTGAAATATTCCTGTTGCCGCTGTTGCTTTATGCATGTATTGAAATCAAAAATCCCAATAACCCTTTGAATTTTAGAATATGGTTGTGTTTAGAAGTAAAGACAATTTAAATTAATTCATTTTATTTAAATGTTGCAAGATATTCTATTTACTTTCTAAAGATCTTAATCTTTCGTTTTCTACATACATTTATTCAAGAGTGATCCATTTGCTAGGTTTTTTAATTATATTTCGGATTAAAGGATTTCAGAATGAGAGTATGTTATTAGAGTTTAAGCCAACTTAATTAATTTATTACAAATAAATCACAATCTTCAACTATTTACAAACAAAGTAATCAGCAAATGACCTTTGATTTAACACACAGAATCAACACAAGTTTATAAAAATAGTGACTCTTATCATACTCAATTTAAAACATACATTTTCTAAAATAAATGTGCTAGAAAATAATAACTTAATCAATTTTTACTGCTGCGTAAATTTTCCTAATGAATGTATAAGCAGCGAAAAATCCTATTGTTCCAGTCAATAACCAAAAGGTTAACACCATAAGACCTGCAAAATAAAAAAATATAAGTAAATAAAAATGAATAATCTGTCGATTTAACTTAGATTTTTGTTCATATTACCTGTGTAACCAATGTATAACAAAGTTGGTATGAATTCAGTGATCTCCAATTTCGTAAAGAAATAAAATATTGCATATATTAAGATGTACACACTGGATCCTCCGGAAATAATAAAACTTTTCCACCACCAATGGTAATCCTGAAAAAAAAAATATTTTAAAATTGATATGTAAGTAAAAAATTGTAATCGTAAATTTTATTATTTATATAATATTCACCTCTCCGCAAAGTTGGAAATAAACCAGCACAATTGATATTTGCGAAACAGATATCACCAAAATGCAAAATACCAAGAATAAAAATCCAAATAAATAATAAAATTGATTTTCCCACAGAGCATTAAAAATGAAAAACAACTCTATAAACACAGCCCCAAAGGGAAGTATACCAGCCATCAATATGCTGAAAACAAATAACAGATTAAAATTTTGTTGAGGGGTTTTATTAATTCAAATTAAAAGTGAATGGTTACTAGAACTCGGAATTTGTGTGGAATAATTACTAGAAATTGGTGTGGAATTGTCGCATGTTTAAATAAAATGATTGAATTAAAAGTGTATAAAAAATGTTTTCTTACCAGACAAATACATTCATATACCAAACTTGTTCAGGTACTTTTCTTGGAATGAAATTAGTCCTTACAGGATGTTGAAATGGTTGCTTTCTGCATCCAAAGTAGTAGCCAAAATAAACCAGAGGCAATGATATGCAAAACCATAGACACAATAACGCCATCATAGTCGAAAATGGTACTGCGCCACTTGAATGTTTTCCCATTATGAAGAAATTCAAAAAGAAACATGTTCCAAATACAATAGCTGGGTAAAGAGTGGCTGTAAGAAATGCTGCTTGCCTCCATTGCTTTCCTTTCATAGTGTTGTACAGACGAGCGGAATAATACCCAGCTATAAGACCCATAAATACATACAAGAATATAGCAGCAGTCATAAGTGCACCCCGACTCGCTGGAGATAACATACCCAACATAGCAATAACTGTAACAAAATTGTCAATTAAAACAAATTTATTTTATTTAAACTAGTATGTACATAGGTAAGAATTCAACCATAATAAATATTATGTGTTTATTAAACTACCTCAAAAAGGGGTACAAAGTTCACATAAAAATTAAAAATACAAGCAAAATTATTATTAAATAATAATAACTTACATATAGTTATCAGGGCCATTAAGAAGATTTGTATTCCACTGCCAATAACAGCTGCAAAGAGCATTCTCTTAGGTGGTGGCCTAAAAACATCACCATGTACTAATTTCCAACCAGTTTCCTCCATCATATCATCAATACCTTCATCTGAATTATATCGTGCTATATCTCTTCTCAATGTTCTGACCATAATCATTGTTAATATACCTAAAACAGAAATATGTTTTTTACATTGACATTATATCCAAAAATATATGCGAAACTCAAAGTAAAGAAAGTTTATTATTAACAATTTTAAATGATTTATAAAAGTACTTATTTTTTTTAATCAGTAGTGGGCCTCATTGGTATTTAAATATTTCGCCAATGTTAAGGTTGAAGATAATTGAAAGTAAAAGTACTCAATTTGAAACCAACCTGATAGAAAGAATAAAACCACAATTGAATTGATTATAGAGAACCAATGGATTTGAACATCTTTCATGCCTAAGTATATGTCCCATCTTGATGCCCAGCCTATTTCGGACTCTCCCCATTCCACAGCATATGTAAAATAGAGCTTTGTTCCAGTGTCCTCATTAACTAGCTGGGGTTTTGCATCAGATGCAAATTGACAGGAAAATTCATCATTAAATGTCAATTCATCTTTGTCTACAGAATATGTCTCCATTTCGAAACCCACAACTCTGTATGAATCTCTAAAAAGTAATTGCCTTTCAGTATTATAAAACAAATGACAATCATACATAATAAAAAAAATTAAACAATAGACTTTTTGTCTTGTATAAATGAAAGAAAATTAAAATAGGTAACATGTAAAGAAAAGTGAATGTTTTAAATAAACTGTGAAACTTACTGACTGTACTTGTGGTATTTGAGTAGCAGTTTCAAGTGGTTATGAATAAATGCTTTTCCTTTAGACATAAAGCCTAATCTGTAACCTTGTTCAATGGTCTTTTCTGAAGTCTCACGGTTAAAAACTCTTGTAGCCACTGGTAAATTGTCAACCAACCTAAAACAAAATTGATTTACTATTGTTTACACTTACATGTAAATAATAAACAATAAATTATATTGCTTACTTACAAATGTACAAAGTACTCATGTTCTATTCGACTTGCAACCTCTTCTGATTCTTCTACACTCCAATTCATTGGATCATTTTGTTTATGGCACAAGAGTCTACATTTAACATTTTCAGCCATATGCACATCGTAAGGAGTATCAACTATTCGATCACCTCTCAATACTTCACCCAGGTTTTCTGATTTATATGTAAAAGACCCATTTTTTGGTAAACACAAGGGCAGTGAATAATATTCATACGGTAATTGTGTATGAATGCTGGTCATTTTAACAGCTCTTACTTCAATTCTTTGTCCTTTCTTAAACTCCACTGGAGCCACACCGGGTACATAAAATCCATTACTAAATAAAACTAAAGTAAAAAAGACAAGGGACAGCGTTAAAGGAGCCTGAAAGAAAAGGAATATTTAAGTATATAAGTTAGTTTTTATATATTGTAGCTTAGGTGTTGCAAATACGTACCGTAAACATATTTACAACAGTAAAACTACTCGTCAATCAGAATAAAAAACGCGTCCTTACAAAATACATTTTCTTATTTTGTACCATTTATTAAGTATTGAAGATATAATAAGTTAAGATTTGACTTTAGGATATTCCAGGAGTATTTGGAATGGATATAGGAGGAGAATTTTATGGAGTCACAAAATGTCAAAATTCAAATGTCAAATTGTCAATAAAAATTGTCGTTGGTTGTTGGTTTCACAGAGCAAGGTTCTTCCATTATTATTTAAATATTAGCCTTCTGGGAAACGTTGACATATTTTTTAACAACGAGAAGCGAATTACTGGACCTTAGCTAGCACAATACTTATGTAAATAGTAGTTATTTACATTTGATTAGTTTAAAAGTTTGCTAAATCCAATCGACCCATAATTTTTAATTTCTTCCAAAAACCGAAGCCAAGTGTCATTTCAATTTCAATTTAATGTATTTATAATCTGTGGTGGACGCATGGCATGGTCATGGTGGATCGAAACGCGTCGACTTTTAGTTAATGTTTTTTTTTTGTTTTGTTTGTGTTTAATGAATTGAATTTCTTTAGATAACAAATAATACATGTGAATTTAACTAATAAAACATAAATCGACCACAATCTAATACAAATATTGACTAGAAACGAATTCTTAGAAACAATATTTTAATGCTACGAATATTGTGAACCGTGAGGTTAAATTTAACAGCTATCAAAATCGAAGCAAGATGGTTCAGGTAATTGGTCTTTGTACTATTACCTTTGCTGTAGTTCAAATTATATTTTAAAGTACTATTATTAATATAACTACATTACAAAGTAAAGTATTTTCATCTTTTCATTAAGTTAATTAAAACTTTTTATCCTTATACTTTTATGGTCGATCTTTTTTATTTAATTTTAGTGTAAAATAGTAAAGTACGTAAATTTGAACTGATATTTCCTGCAAAAAATTATGATACAGCATATTATATCATATTTTAGTATAGTTTTAAACCAATGCATCATTTTTTTGTGCTAATATGTAAAGAAAGTTGAAAATAAATGCTTTGCAGGCAATTGAAGAAACTGAACATCCTGATCTACCTCAAGCGGTGCGGCTGTTCAAAGAGATGAACACAAATGTGCAGCAAGTGTCGCAACTCATAGACAACATGTTAGTCCGAGTCAGAAACGGTGAACTATCCACTGACAAAGGATTGAGTTTTCTTGAGATGAAATATCAAATGTTACTAAGCTATTTAATCAATTTAACATATATTGTTCTCCGTAAATGTTCAGGTGAAAGGATTGAATCTGATCCATCTATTGATAGACTAGTTGAAATAAGGACAGTATTGGAGAAAATTCGTCCCATAGATTCTAAGTTAAAATACCAGATAGACAAACTAGTGAAGACTGCAGTCGTTGGCTCAGTTACTGAAGATGACCCACAGTCATTTCGTGCTAATCCTGATAACTTAGTAAGTAAAATAGATGATAATGACAATACCAGTGATGAAACAGATGATGAAGAATCCAGAAAAGAAAAAAGTAGTAAATCAAATATTTATGTTCCTCCAAAATTAGCAGCCGTACATTTCGATGAGAGCACTTCAAAGGTTGAAAGTGATAAGAAAAACAAAGAGAGGTCAAAGAAGCAATTCCTTAATTCTAGTGTTATGAGGGAACTTCGTGAAGAGTACTCAGAAGCACCTCTAGAAGTGACCACAGGGAATCATGTAAAGCATTCTATATCTAAATATGAGCAAGAAAAGACTGAATATGAAGAAAACTATCTAACACGTCTGCCTGTTACTAAAGCTGAGAAGAATCGTAGGAAAAAACTAACAACCGTGGGTGTGCTTGCTGATGAGATAACGGGAACTAGACAAACATCTAGGAAACATAAATTGAAATCCAAAAAAGGAAAAGGTTTCAAAAGAAGGCGTATTCATTGAAATCTGTTTAATCACTTGTATTTTTAATGTAATAAAAATAAAATATAATGTAACATAAAGCTATAACATAAATATTAATAAACTCTGTTATGAAACCAGGTACAATATTATAAATTTAACAAACAGTACATAAACTAAGATGATTTGCAGGTAAAAGGATAGTGTATTTTATAGACTATATTTTGCTCTGTTTTAAAAAGTTTTAAATTTTAAAATCATTATAGAGTGTTGGAGCTGACTTGATTGAAAAATTATTTTGTTACAAAGTATAGCTTCATCAGTTACACAGGTTAATTATTAATAAAAAAAATATCCTACAAATACAAATATTACTTAATTTTGAAGTTGTTCTTGACTCAAATGAATATTAATTTAATACTCAGGTTAATAGCAATATTTACTTGATCACTATTGTCTTATAATTGTGCGACAGAAAAATTTCATATTCATTTTTTTATTAATATTTATTACGATTTTATAAAAGGCAAGTAAAAAATAATTCTAACGAATGTTTGATAGAAGAGGTTAAGTAACGTAAACATTGATTTCAAGTTTTTATAATTATTTTTATATGACTTCCAAAATACTAGGTTACCCAATTTTTTAAATTTTGTTCAAATTTTTTTGTTATATAACAGGTTTTTGTGCTTGCTATGATAAATGGCAAAATTATGGTTTAACTTTGTTATGTTATAATGTTCTTATTTTTTTATTTATAATTTTTTAAGCACATCACATGAAGAAAGTATTTTCTATAAAGATGATATTCTACGAAGATTCCTATAGTTTTTATTAATAGCATGGACATGTGAAAAGTAAAAACCAATACAGTATGTTTTGTATGCAGATAAAAACTTAAATATCTTCTATCAATAATTATTTATTAATATTGGATTCTGAAATTAAGAAAAATTGTGTTTAAAATTGCATATGATTTGTATTTGAGAACTTAAATTGTAAGGTATGTTTTTGATATTGACTTCTTTGAGCAATAGTTTAGTTTTTCATGTTTGTTTTTTTAAATTTTCTTTCAAATTTCAATTTGACGATTAGTGTTATGAAAAAAATCAGCTTACTTATTTTTATTATAGAGTTATCATTTTTCAAACTACATAAATATGTTATAATAGCTTGATTGTAAGCGATTATCAGAATTTGAATTATTGCATAACAGTACATATATAAAAATTAAAGAAGATATATCTGAAGATAAACCAATTCTGTGTTGATAGCTGCAGCTAGATTAATTATCGAGCTTTTGTAAACATACAAATATTAACTATACAGCAGATTGTATTATATAATAATATACATTTATATGTTTAACATAAATTAGCTCAAAATACAAAACCATAATTTTAGTTTCAGTGATATATGTGACAACGATTACTTAAATTCTGAAGGGACTTTTTATTTTACGAGATTTTATACAGAATACAATCATTATTATTTTATTAGAAAGATTTCTAAGTTACTGTTTTGTATATTATTTTATTTTTATTTAAAAACGATTGAGACACAAATTTTTCTAGAATCACTTATACTCTATTATGGTTTAACACCTATTCATTACTTTTTAAAAAAGGTCTTTGATTGTAACTGAAGAATTGTTTTCTATAAGGCTTCTTATCATTATTATTGAACTTATTTGTCAGAGGCGTGTCGTAATTGCCTAAACCTTAATTTATAACAGTTTCAATTATTGTAATTGTTTTACGTTTTTTTCTAAGGAAGGTTTTTGATTTTAGGTGAACGTAAAATTCGTTTATCAACAGTTCATACAATAGTTGTTTAGTTTTTGTATTGTTTTTTTTTAATTATCGATTATAATTAAAAAATGTTGCATGATTATAAACGTATGTTAGTTTTTTGATTTTCGTAAGTTGATGTTTTGTTTTTTTTTGTTCTCTTGATTTCTTTAATTTGTTTTTCTTTTGTATTTGTAACAACTATTGAATAAAATATCATAAAAACAATCATTTTATTTTATTTATTCAACAATTTTTTATAACCTGGGAAAATCTTGGAGGCACGTGGCAGGGTCAAATGATTGGTATCGTTTTAGTCGCATCTTTCGGATGTGGTCTATAGGAGTATGTGTGTCCAGGCACTGATAATCTCCGCGCGGGGGCGCTGTTCCATAGTTCTGAGTTAATTGCGAGCATATGACCCGATTCATTAGCCATATTGGAGACGGCATTGTGATCTACAAATTAAAAAATACGTAAGTGATATACACACAAGCTAGGTTTGGCCTAAGAATATATGGATGGATTACGTAAAAGGTCACATGATCACGAAGGGTGAGACTACAGAGATGAGAGACGATAGTTCGGGACAGTACGTGAGTGGGATAAGGACAGGTAGATGATAATGTAATCACATTTTAATAGGTTAACTAATTTTTTTTTCTACATTTGTACAGTTACGTGACTACATGGCTAAATCTGGCTTTCAAATTAAATTCTGTCAAGTTACCGGTTTTAGCACAGTCGGATAAGGATTCCTGTAATCAGCTTGTTGGGTGGAAAGATAATCCATTACTCCAAAATCAGGCGGCAGTTGCGCCAACCCGGCTGTTTTCATAAGTCTATTTCGACCTGGAGTACTAAAAATCGAAATTTAGTGTGATGATAAAAAGGTCACAAATACTTGCAGTTAATTCGACCTTATCAATCTTATTAAATAATTGACGGTTTGAGCCCACTTTACAACTTCAATTTCAACCGTTCAGTTATATAATGTGTGATACGGGCTTCAGGTGTAGCAGTAAATTAAGCGCCAATTTGATAGTTCTTCGACAAGAGAGCACTTGTTACGAAAGTTCCATGTTGAAGTCCTAGACTGTATATAAATGTTTATGATTACAAAGTTAGTTTGAAATTTACTGTTTGGGAATGTGTTTTTTAAGTCAGTTCAGTACTAAACTGAAACTAATAAACAAAATGTTAAAAGATACGAGATCTTATTACTTGGGTTGTAACGGAGGCCATTTTAACGGAAGCGAATGCGGAGGCGATGGGCTTCATCTCTGCAGAAGCGGAGGTTAACGGAAGCGGAAGCGTAGGTCAATAATACAATATTAATTGCGATTTATTAAAGGAAAAAAACTGAAGGTACGTTAGTTAAAATACAGATTGGAAAACGATAGGTAATCGCTCCATTTGCGTTAAAGATGTAAATTAACCTTTATAACTCTACACAAGAAATAACGGAAGCGGAAGCGGAGTTAATATTTTTTGCGGGACACTTGCGAAAGCGGAGTTCTGTTACAACCCTACTTATTACCTAACAGACTGGAGAGTTTTAGATTTTTCAACTTACTCAGTGCAAGGATATGAAGTGAAATTAACTAGTGGTTTGTAAATATAAACGGGATCCTCTCTCATAAAAACTTCCTGCAGCATATGTCCAGTTTCAGTTGGACCGACGCCCTGGTCATAGCTACCCAGACGTAAATATGTACTCAGGTGATTGCTCAGCTGATCACGGTACACGTAATTATCTTTTTTCTCAGCCAATACCGCATATTCCCAGTGCTCAACCTTCACGTTTGGACTATATCTGTTTTTACAAAACAAGATTTGGTGTGGCTTTTTCGCCATGGGATTTTTAGTCCGCATTTTTAGTGTATTTTAATGTTAGCAAAATATAAGAATAATGTGTGCAAAATTTATTTTCTTGTATGCCGTTAATGATTTTTTTAAATTGCCTGCCAAATAAATAATGATTGATCATGACAGTTGAAATATGCATAAAATATTAGATTATGAAAACGTTTAAATAGTATTTATATCTTTTTTTATTAATTTGTGATCTATATCCGAAATATATTACCTCTATAGAGCTTGGTCAAAATATTTTATTCGTTTTTTTTTTGTAACACTTTCATAAAGTATTTAAATAAATACCTGATCGCCACATCTACATCATAAAGTTTTGTGGTTTGTAATTTCAAGATCTGAATATAATTTTAGATCGATTCTGAATAAAAGAGCAAAAGTTGTATGATTAATAATTTAATAAAGGTCAGTAGGCGTCTGCGGCGGCGCAATCGGTGTGGTGCTGACGCCTTCCGTCGATGACTGTTCTAATATCCCAAACTCTCGCAAAGAAACACTTTTGAGTGCACAAGCGATAAAGATTTCGAAGAACTCGAAAAACGTTATGTCTATGTTTAAGTTAATAACTCTTTGTTCTTCGCAGACTTTGGGAAATATACGTGAAAAAATTGATATTATTGATGTACAAGGGAGATTGCCGAAATTAAATAATTTCAAGCCCTTTTTCTTGTGCTTCTTTGAGTTATGTAGAGTATTTCCCCCGTAGGAGTCTGTAAACCAAATTAAAGTGACAATAAACATTATTTATGAAGGGATTTTTTTTATAATTATCAGCCTGAATAATTACTACTACTTACTAAACTAGCGCGTACCATCCTTCGACCACATCTTCACCTTGGTCTAGGTGGGATAGTGGTCAAGCGCTGGTTTTTTGCAATTTTAAAAAAAAAAAATTACGGATATAAATCTTCTACAGTTATGAGTGATTCATCGTTGTTTCTACCTTTTAAACCATTTCTTATCTTCATAGAGGTCAATGTTACCTGAAAACTTGCAAGTTAACTTATTAACTTACCTAGAACATAAGTAATATCATTCCCGAAAATGTAAGAATTTTGTCCAATGTGGGGGTCGGTAAATTCATCGTAGTGAATACTTAAAGTTTGTACTTTTAAATGTGACGGAGGATGCACGGCGCGCATGTACTTCAACAGAGTATGTGGTTCCCCTAAGCTCTGATACAATTTGTATAGACGTTTTAAAGGCATAAATACCCCATAACCATTAATAAATCGACCTGCAAAAAGAAACAATTATCTTTTCTTTATTTTACTGCAACCGGAAATCCCTAGCATGTTTAGAGTCTCTACGAGTATTGCTATGCTACTTACCTTTTTGTTGAGCCACTCCCGGTAAAATATCTTTGTCCATAAATTTTCTGAACGCGTTTGCTAAAATTGTGTCCGGTTTTGGACCCGGTAATACTCTTTTTGCGTACAGTTTATTGGCCACCGATATAAGGCTATGAATGAATTGCCAATAGTAAACTGGCTCGAAGGGATCGTGCGGTGAATTCGCAAGCCAACGAGGATTGTGCGCAAATATGTTGTCGATTTGTACCAACGTCAGTCCCTTTTCATGTATATTGCAATCGTAATACATTTGCCACAGGTAGAGCCGAATCAAAATGGGAGTAAAGTTAATTTTTTTCGAGTTGCACAAAGTACAATATTTGTAATAAATTCTTTTCAAATCACTTTCATAACACCGCAAAGAATTGTCCAGCGCCCTGAGCTCAAATTCGATCAAATCATCGGGAATATTATCTTCGATTTCACCGGAATCTGACAGGCGCAAGTTTTCATACAGCTTTTTATTGGACTCTATGAATTTATTGATCATAGCCAGTCTTACTTTATGCTGCTTGTCTATATTTTTGATCGCCTGTTGGACATGATAACGAAATCCTACCGAATTGTCGATTATATCAAACTTGTAAGGCTCAACAGTTTGATCGAGCTTTATACCTTTTGCGTTAGCAATATCTGTTTCTTCTGCATTCATTGGGGCTAGGTTACCGTCTTGAAACAACTGTTTACTTTTTAGTATGAATCCGTTGTTGGACACCAATATTCCCGCGCCATGTTTCTGGTTGTGCATGAACTCCCCGGTGTAATGGGCGCCGAGGCTGAGACCGAGATGCAACATACCGCAGCCATGCCGCTGCCCTCGTAGCCACTGCCCGCGGTACATTATAACAGGAGGCTGAGATAGTGTATTGTTACAAAATGTATCCCAAATATACGTGCCGTTGCCAGACATGACTCCGTTTTTCCATTCTCCTCTATAAAACTGCAACATTAATGAATCTTATATTCTCCAATTTAACAATGAAGTGTAGTTCGAAGCATAAGATATATGCAGTAGTAGACCATATAATCAAAAATCATTTTAGAGTGTTGCTATCAATTGTCAACTTACGTCATGATTGGGCCATACCATCAAGCCTTTACCTTCTCGAATATAAAGATCCCACTCTCCTTCGTACACACTTTGAGGACAGTACTCTCTGGATCCATACCCGTGGCGTACGTTCTAGGATATTTAATCAATGATTAATCGAACCATTAGTATTTACGTGAAGTATCCCATAAGGAATTTTCAAGTAGCCCTGAAGTTTTATGCGTTTTTTTTTTTCAAAAAGTTTAAGCTTGTATTAAAAAGTACTTACATAAACCCACTGACCGTCATAAGAATTTTTAAAATTTTCGGAGTAATATATAGTTCCTCGGCCATGCTTAGTGCCGTTGTACCATTCGCCAATGTAGGAGCGTTGTCTCCGAGAGTCCACATACATTCCTTTACCATGACGGAGGTTACCGGAAAACTCCCCTTCGTACCAAGTATCGTCTTTCCATTGGAGTATCCCTCTTCCATTCATCTCATTGTCTTTGAAACAACCCTGTTTTTCAAGCAAATATAGTAAAGCAATTGGTGCGTTTTTTTGTTTTCCTTTTTAATGTAATTTTTTTACCGTATACACGGTTCCGTCTGCCCATACATAGATGCCGTCACCGTGCATAGCTTTCATCGAAATGTTTCCCTCATATATGTTGCCATTCCGGAATCGAATTAATGCTCGTTCGTCGGGAGCCGTCCACCAAGACGTAGGTATTGTCTCCTCCTGTACATAATTAATTTTAGTTTTCAGAAGTACATCTAACATGTGTTTATTCACGTTCCTACTACACAATCATCTCAAAATGCCAACTTAGTATCCAAAGGAAATAATTATAATTTATTTTTTTAATACCTGTGCCTCATCCAAAAATTCGTTTTTTGATCTTTTCGATTTTGATTTCGCTAAAAGAAAAAGAATAAAATATTTTTTTATTTCAAATCATTAATTAAATCAAAGAAAAACAACTGACCAAGATTTTTCTTTTTCTTCTGTGGAAATATACTGCTGGTGACCTTTCCAAAATCTTTAGTTGCGAAACTTTCTTCTTTTTTCACTTGACTTATTACTTCCCAGGTGTCTACGATGCTGTCTAACATGGAATTGAATAAACAGGTAACGATCTCTTTCTGCACTGAGCCTTTTGGCCGACTCATTAGAAATGTTGTGGAGTCACAGCCCATGGCCAAAGACAGCTTGCTTGACATTAGATTTCCTCCAATATGTCTCGCTTCAGATACTGATCTTCTTGATAAAATCAGCGAACTGTCTCGCCGCGTACCTATAGATCTCGGAGTATCCGTGAAGAGCATTGTTTTATTTTATTGTTATGACTATTGACTTGAATCAATTAGGCAGTTATTTACTGTCGTAATAAACGTTAGGAGACAAGATATATAATAGAAATATAGAAAGACAAGAAATATCTTGGTTAATACGATGACACAAACTTTGGAATCGGTAATTTAGATTGATAACTGTCAGTTTCATTAAAAAAATTGTCGTAAAATAATAAGTCGTCATAGTAACAAGTTTTTAATGTAAACCGCTGCATAAAAAGGACCAAAAAACTACCAATGACCTAATGGTTTGGTGAACGGACTACCGATCTTGCGGTTGAGGGTTTGAATCCCGCCATTCGACTATTGATGCGAACCACATCCACAAGTCTAGAGCTTAGTTGGGATGGTTAAAGGATTAGTTAGCAAATTTAAAAAAATCTAATAATATTTTTTATAAAACCTAATAAAAAAATATTAATTACCTGTTTTGCGAATATCAATAGAGCAGTAATTCTAGTTACAAAACCACTTTGTTATATGGTTGAGCAAAAAACTGCTTCGTTTATCATATTAATTCAGGTGTAACATACAAGCGATATTACAATACGGCTGTTCTTCAGTTTAAAAAAATATATATAATTTTGATACTAAGATTAAGAACGATCCTAATTGAATAGTTGTAGTAAAGGAATTGGAAAAATACAAATTCTAGGAATCTTCTGGCCAGAAACGATACGCAACGATGAACTCCTGACACGTTGTAGAGAGCAGCCGATCGGCCAGCAGATAAAACGACGCAAGTGGTTATGGATTGGCCATACGCTTCGCCGGGAATCCAGCCACATTCCCAGGGAGGCCCTGGAGTGGATCCCACAAGGAACACGAAAGCGTGGCCGCCATAAACAAACCTGGCGGCGTTCAGTGGCGGCCGACTTAAAGGTAATCGGGCTGTTATGGTCCGAGATACAATGCAGAGCCCAAGACAGAGCGAGCTGGCGGCGTACTGTGGACGCCCTCTGCCCCTCTTTGGGGATAGAAGGAATAGAAGAGAGAGAAAGAGAGAGAAAAGGAATATTGGATACGAATTTTTACTTACATGAACGAAAATTTTGGTTTATCATAGTTTAAGTTTATTAATATTTATAAATGCTTGCAATAAAGATTATAACGACAAATAAATTACAGTAATTTTATTTTAAAAATTTTTACAGTGTTGTAACAATAAAACTGCGACATAAAAAGTTAAGTTTCGTACTGGTTTATTTTAACAAGTAGTCTAATTTTATTTTTCATTCTAGGTCTTGAAGGTCGATCATAGTGACTTCGATATCTCTCTGTAGCACCATCCGTCTTATAAGAGGTTGGAAATTCATCGTTTAACAAAGATCGACCTAGCGATAGAAAATAGTACGTTATAAGGGAATTTCGAAAATAAGAAAAACAAAAATCTAAAACATTTTTAACCCATTTTTAAAAACTTCCAAGTCCTCCAAAAACGCCAAAAATCGGAACTGTTATTTAGATTGGTCTGTGATGAGGTGTCTTCTGGCTCCAGAGGTATGTCCTGATGAGGTATTTCCTGCGTTGTATTACCATCTCCGCAACATGGACATAAAAAACTTAATATAGAAAACAGCATCAGCACCTTAAAATAAGTTTTTTTTTAATTTCCAGTTACAATTGCTATGAATATAAACTAACAATTTATAAACAAACTAGCTTTTACCCGCGACTTCGTTCGCGTGGATATAAAAAAAAACAAAATTGAGTAGGCTATATGTTCTTCCAGACTATCCTTGACATTTGTGCCAAATTTAATCGATATCCGCTTAGGCGTTTGGTTACTTACTCTAACAAACATCCATCTAAACTTTCACATATATAATATTAGTATGAACATGGATCAGTTTTACGTTTTTATTACGGACTAAGAAATGCTTTACTAGTATGATCTATGGTTTCAGTCACTTTGTCGTAAATCATAACACAAGCTAGATAGTGTTAAGGCATATTAAATAATTCGAACTATACAGATAAAGAAATATGGACATAAATACCTTAGACATCATTTTGTTTCAGTATTTTATATATCCGTGCAATACAAGCGTTGCGATTACACTAACACCCTCCAATGATTCCTTAATCGTTTTCTAATGATTATACGGTTATGAAGATGGTTATATTGTTACATTTTCATATAACCGGTGTAACCCATACGTAAATACATATAGCGTGACTAGACCAGATATTACGAATGAAATGCACTATTACATATGCGTATAGTAGAATAAAAAGTAGAATCAAGATGGTTTTTTATTCTTACAACTTCTTAAAAATTGATTAAGTGACTTTTACAACAAAGACCATCGGTTCAAATTTACTTTTTTGTTTTTTTTTTTCAGTTATAAACCTATTGAATGTAGGAAATTTCTATTTTTATTATTCATAATACCTTCAGGTAATTTCAAATAATAAGATTGTTATTCAAAATAACTATTTTATTAACAGTAACACACTATTAAAATAATTGATTTAATAATACATAAATATAACAGTTGCTTGCAAGAAATTAACACATCATCGACAATATTTCACATATATTTAAAACTATTCGCACCATGTGCAAACTGTATACTGTGATAAACAAAAATATATGGTTTTCACTTATAAATAAATTGAATTAAGATACGATTCCTTTATAAATAGTAAAGAGACCGATTTTTATATGACAAAAATAGTATTTGTATAACGTCAATTAATATTTTGTTAATGAACTAGCTATTTTATATGTTTGCGTAAGGATGACGGGATTACAAAGGGGGTAGATTGATTTGAACGAAAATCTATTGCGTAAAACTTTCAATACATAGAGTAAGATAAAGGCAGATAGATAGTGAAGAATAAATATGTTATTTTTTTTTTAATTTAAGTACATTAATAGCAATAATTCTATTATTTTCTTTGAATTAAAATGTCTCTAGTGTTAGAATAAAGTTTCTCTAGGTCAGTGTAAGTGAGTATAATTGACAAGTAGAATGGTTTCGCAGAAGTGCAGTTTGGATTTGTTAACCATGGGTTACTACTGCAAAGATCTTTCGACAACAACATATTGTTATTCAAATTAGTTATAAAAAATAAGCATAAGTATTGCGAACTCAACGTTTAACACCTTAGGAGCCATGTGTATCTTTTTGTCACAGTGTCTACAATACTGTGTATGTGGCCTGGGAGGTATGAATTTCAAATGAACTATTTCTCAAGCCACTTGTATTTAAATGTCACACGAATAATAATCCAAGGAAAAATGGATGTGAAAAACAATATATGATATATAATGTTTTAAACACATTCCAACGAAAAAAATGTGTTTTTTTTTTAACGCCCACTTAGTGTCTGACGCTAAAGGTGTTAACCATACATTATAGTACTTAATACAAATTAATACAATTAAATGCAATTTTACGCTTTCACGTATGAAGAGGTGAGAATTAAATGGGCATATGTTAAATCAATATATATAACAAAGGAAAATATTGAATAAAAAAAATAACATTGTCATAATAAAAATATTCTTAAGTATCACTGTGCGTTAAAAAAACACTTATATAAAGTTGTGTCTTTCATTTTGTAGCTATTCTATAAGTTTTGTAAGCAATAATAATAATTAGTGGATTTAACGGTGGAGGAGTAGCATAGGAAGGTGAAATGTCCTCTTTATGTGCATCTCCTCCTCCATAAATGAAGGGTAGGCAACGAATGTTTATGGGCAGCGGTCGCTTTCCATATCGGTGGATTCAGGTGGCCACTTGCTCGTTTGCCACCTTATTATTATAAAAGAAATGTTTTTTTCTAAAGTCTCTTGAAAAAATAATCAATTAGTGATAAAAATATGATCAGAAGTTTGTTAATAATTACATGATTTTTAAAGATTAGAGAAAAACATTATTAAAATATTTATAATTTGGCTAGAATCCGACTCTCAATTATTAGAATTATAAAGGAAAAATAATTGATTGTAGCATATATCAATTAAAAAAAATATCTTTTATTAATATTCATATTCTATTGTCCAGTAGTTTTATTAATCAAGACTAAATTGTATGTATTTGAATGTGAAATAATACTTCAATTGCGATTACTAGTGTTGAAACAATTATTAATGATAATCAAATGGGATTAAAAATTAGACAATAAAAATAACTTTTTAATACTCGCTAGTAATAATTTTTCCTTATGCATTTCTTGTTTTAAATATATTTAGATCATTTTAAATTCACACATTGTCAACTTTTTGACTTTTAAAAACTAATAAAAAGCATCTAAGAGCACCTGCCAAAGACCATGTAACGATGTACAAAAATATTTTGAGCATCAATTTTTTTTTAGCAATAATTTTCTTCATTTATTTTTTTTACAATTACGGACAAATTGTATTTATACCAGTTATCACACCACATCAAATACTAACTTATAATTTAAAATGACTTAGACAATGACTAAAATTGGCACAACCCCATGTAAGATAGGGACAATTAGGGGTAGGATTTAGTTAAACTATTTTTTTTTGTTCTGTTGATTATCTTCATTTTAAGGTACAAATATATTAAGGATTTCTTTTTCTTTCACTTATTATTTCGGACTGTTATTGGCAAGAATAGGCCCCTAACTTATCTTCCATTTACAACTTTCTTCTCTGAATTAATTCATAAATTTCTCAAATTACATTGTATACTTAACAAGTTACATTTCTCACTCAGGCACTTATATCTTATCAATCGAATATTTTAAATCTTCACAAAGATTTTTCTGTTTCCTTAAACTAGATCTTTGGCTAAGTTATGAAAATTTGTCATTTTGTTTTAACATTTAGATGATTTATAAATAAAAATCATTGCTTTAAATGCATAGCTTCTATAAAACATTTCTTTGCATATAAATTGCATTGCTTTCATTACTATCCTTACTTTTAGTTGGATATTGTAATATTTTAAAAATACATAAATGTATAAATAATTTCAAGTTGCTAGAATTGAATTTAAAGAAAAAGTACAGATTATTGATGATTGATGATACACTTTTAGGTTTGGATTTACCCAAAACAATTGAATTATTTTTCTTTTTTATTAAGATTCCTATAGCTGATAGATCAGTGAGTAACTAGGTAGATTGGTCTATCTATCTTGGAGAAGGTGCGATGGATTGCTAGCATTTAATTACCTAGTATAATAAAAGTGAATAGATTTATATAATACTTTTTAAATTCAATTATGTTTTGGTCTCACCCGTTATCCTCATCGAGTAGACGTACACGCACTTCGACAGTCACATATTCTGCAGCATTCAGATATTCTGACGTAAGCTGTGTCAGTGATCAGTGTTGCCAATGTTACGGCAATTGCTGTGTCCTACGCTTTCAGACAATAAAATTAAAAAATCTACGACCTACGGCAGTAATCTTAAAGCCCCAAAATTCAACGACTTTTCGAAAAATCTACATTAAATCATTGTTTTAAATTTTTAAATACCTTTTGAATGACAAATAGTCATCGATTAACAATGATTTTAACCCGGAATAATGAAATTTAACTATTTACGCTTAAACATTTAACGAATTTTAAAACAAAATAGCGATATTAAGCTAATAATGAAAGGTTTTTCGTTTTTGCAGCATTGCTACGGTCCACCATTGATCTATTTCCCGCACAAACACAACACTTTCTTCAGTTCACAATTTAACCAGGTAATTTTGGCAACACTGGTTCACATCCACGCGGTGTGCCGCAGGTTGTCGACGAGCGTGGCGCGGCGGCGCGCGGTGCGGGGGCAGGCGCGGGGGCAGGCGCGCGGGCAGGGGCGGGGGCAGACGCGCGGGCAGAGGCGCGGCGGGCCGGGCGCGGGTCACGAGTCGTGCAGCAGGCGCTGGTAGTGCGGGAACACCTCGTGCGGCGCCACGTGCAGCCCGAACTCCAGCGCCACCAGCACCGCGAACTCGAACTTCATCAGGTCCTTGCGGTTCAGGCGGAATGTTGTCTCTATACGCTGAAAATGCCAATTACGGTTTTTATTCTTTTTGACCGACTTCCCGAAAGGAGGTACTCAATATGTCTGTATTTTTTTTCCTTTTGAAAGACAATCATCAGCTATTTATTACAAAGTAAATGGTAATTCATATTCATACACCCATAGGTAATCACTAATATAATTATTGTACAAAAATGTTATTGCTCAAACAATATAAAACACAAATTAATTTTCAGTAAAACAAACAAAAGTAGAACTTGGTTTAGTCAAGTTATACTAAGTGAATTTGGCATGGCAAAAAGTATAATGTTTAGAAATGAAATAAATAAACGACGTAGTACTGATTATCACCTCAATGTAATAAGAAAATATAATAATTATAATTACCTCTATCAGTGCTTTTAACATTTCCCCTTTGACATCGTTTAACTTCGCTGACAACAAGAGACATGCTCCAGCGCACAATTTCCTGTTGTCTTTGTTTATCAAATTGGCTAAAATCAACTTTTCGAAGTACACGTACGCCTGAGCGACCGACAACAAATCTATACCTCCACAATCGTGTTTTGCTATCTTTCGCATTTCTTTCTTAATACTGAAAAAAAAAACAAATAAATTAGATTTTTTTTTTCTTTTTTTTAATTTCCTTAAGAATATTGACTGCCTTACCTTCTAAGTTTGCTTAATGTTAATTTGATATGAGGAAATTTCTCTCTAAATTTATCATTGAGCTCTTTCTTCAGATCCTGTGGTCTTACGTAATCAATAATTGAGGTCATGTATGAAGTAAACGTTAGTAGAGTCCTGTGTTTACCCGCTATTAGCTCGGGATCGTCCAACACGTTAGGACAATATTGGACCTAAAAATCAAGCATAAAGTAACTATAACGCAACATTTCACAGACAAAAAAATATGCAAAAAATGTCAATAATTTTTTCAAAAATAAAGTTACGTCAATATTATTTATAACGGAAAAAAAATAAGAGAATTAACATAACATACTTATGTTTTATATATAAGTTTTTGTTAATATTTCATAAGTTGGCAAACAAGCATGCGACCACCTCAATTCGCCAAACTGGCGAAGCGACGTCTACCTTTATCGACGGAAGGGGAGACGCACATGAAGAGGATATTTCCAATTTCTACGCGTCTCCTGCGTCAAGTCCAAAAGAAAAGGATGTGAAGGGTCCCATCTTATCTTATAATAAAAAGGGTAGGACGGAAAAGGGTTTAAACTTGGGCCACCGGCTTCACACTTATCAGACGAAACGCGGAATTGCTCTTACTTCACGTCTGTCTTCTGTGTGGTCGTACTATTTCACCGAGAAAGTCGAACCATTTCTGCGAAGATGTTAAAGCGGGTTCTACCACTGTTAAAAAAGTTAAGTATTTCATATGAGAGGATCAACTTACAATTTTTTGTGACAATATGGTTCCTTCGTCCCAATCAAATGATTTAGTCTCTATAGACGAGTGCGGCGGCGATGAAGCTATGGTCGCACGTTGCGAGGATTCATATGAAAAACACCTAAAATATTTGTATTGTTAGTTGTGACTACAAACATAAATATATTCATGCAATCAAAATTTCCCCATGCAAGTTACATGCATTAATTGTAAAAAATAAAAGTGAAACATGCTGAAAATAAAGAGGTTTAATAAATGTGCAATGAAAAATAGCTGTGAATATTATGAATTGTGTCTATTACTAAAAGTTAACACATTGAATGGCAATATGCTTATTAAACAACAAAATCTGTGACACTGTATGTCATCACGATCTTCTTATCCTACTCCCGTAGTGTCGGCGCAACAGGTTTTTGTCCTCCACATAACTCTATCATACGTCATCTCAGTCATCACTCTCTTTTTGATCATGTCACCTTTTACACAATCCATCCATCTCTTCCTAGATCTACCTCTACCGATGTACCCTTCCACACTCATAACTAATGTTCTCCTTGTAACTTGCGATTCATCCCTCCTCATAACATGCCCATGCCATGCTAACCTTTTACTCCTTACCTTCTCTACTACGGGGGCAACTCTCAAACTTCCTCTAATATACTCATTTCGTATCTTATCCATTCGTTCCATCTGTGGCACTGTATGTGTTAAAAGTAAAGTATTATTACAAGATGGCAATTTTACTACAAAAATATATAATTAACAATACTTTTACAATTACATGATGTAGTTACTAAGCATTGTGTGAACTGTACAGTGGACATTTTAATATCAAAGTATGGTGAATTTCTAAATAATTAATTACTGTACAAAATTGTTCTCTGCATGTATGACTGTGTTTTTTTTCAAGTAGATAACATTTTCATTGATACATAAATATTATAAGCTTACTATATACAAGTTAATAGTGTATATCATGCTATAACTTTTAGTGCAGTATTTTTAACATTTTATTTGTTAATCTACTTTACAAATTAATTTAGCTTTTTTAAGGATTTTTGTAACCTCAGCAGAAGTATTTTAGCATTTTGTAGCTACTGTATTATATTTTATACATGACAAGTGATTTTTTTTTATATTTCCTGTTGCTTTCTAATTTTTTAACAACACAAGTCATATATTAAGTGTTTTTATTATAATAATGCAGCTTTTAAAGATATGCTAGTTAATATTTTTGTGTTTACCATTTTCTATCCTTGTGCCTCGTCAATAACTTAGTCCTGAAATTTAAAATGTTAGCAATGATATGAGGTGATTGCCTGAGATGTCACACTAAAGCAAAACATTGAAATAAAAAAAGATAATGTTCATTACATGATGTGTTTGACATGAAAATAGAAATGTGACAGACAGAATATATCCATTAAAAACATCAATAAAGGGAATCAAAGACACCAAGAGACATGCAAAAGTATATGCATTATGCTACAGGTAATATATTTTATATTACACAAATAACCATTAAATTTGTAGAATTAAATAAAATGTAAAAAGTAGCCTATGTGTTCTTTCAGACTATAAATTATATCTGTGCCAAATTTCATTGAAATCTTCAAGCGGTTCCTAACAAGAGCTCAGCAAAACGTTTCAAAATAATGAAATGACCATGGCTTATAGACATACACATCTGTAGATGCATTGTGCAACCTTTAACTATAGCCTCTATTTTTAAAAACAGGAAGCGGCTCCCTTAGTACCTATTGGAACACTGAGTTCAGTGAGCATTTAAATGTTTGTCTCGCTTTCTACACTGACTATGTGACTAAATTTGTGATTTAACTTACCTAGCTATAACATGAGGGTGACGATTTAATATCTTCCAAGATGTTTTGTCCCCAATATCTCCGTCATACATTTTACGATATTGATCTCGTGTACATACTCTTGATGGTACTAGTAGCTTCGAATAAGATATATCTTGGCCATGTTCTTCTCTTTCTAGACCTAGGAGATCAAATGGGTCCATCCCATTGTCCGTTATTGACGATAGTGGTCTAGGTCCGGACGTATTACGTCTACGAACCCCATCTTTTCTAATGTCAGCTCTGAAATTTAGAAAGACTTAATTAATTATAATGTAATAATATGAATTAAACATGTGTTTTATCAAAATTAATGCGTGTTTATTACACTTTATAAAATATAATTAACACATACCTCACACTGCGAATGGTTTTGGAATATGGTATTGTGCTAAATATAGTGCAAGGTACACCTTGCATTGGTGCTATTGCTAGCCTCTCATCTTTGAATGTAACACCTTTTGTTGGACGAATGATCCTCACTTCTTTAGCAAAATAGTGGTTTTCAGGTATACATGTACTGCTTGTCCTAAACCTTCCTATTAGTGTAAAAATATCTAATTACATTACATTGATCAAATAAACAATTGACATTGAACTTGCTTTCCATTTAGCACAAAAGACAAAATTTATTGAAGATAGAAAGACAGGTGTAAAAGGAATGTTACCAATGGTAAGACTTTCAGTACTGCTCTTTTCTTCCTGCGTAACATTAGATGGAAGGTGTGCTTTACGGCTCCGCACTGATGAATGCTTATCTTTGTGTTCCGCACTTCCAGACTGACATCTAAAAATAACATTGCAATAAAAATTAGCTATAAGAAATTTTAGGAATGCAATATATCAGAATAGAACTTTAATACATGCGATGTTTTTCGATTGATAACATTAACTTCCATAATTTTAAAATTTACTGCATTTACCTTTCCCTGAAGGAATGACTTCCTCTATTTTTAACAGGGGTGATATGTGCATGCTCTGAATCCGAACTTATAGAATGATTATCACCTCCCATGCGATTAACCGGACTTTGTGGGGCTTTGTTACGACTGCGGACGTTATTTCGTAACATTGTATCGTTCTCGACATTGTGACAAACATCACCATTTTTGAGTCCACCATCGCATTTGTCAACCTTGGAGTTTTTTTCTAATAACTGGCAAAGTTCTGTATCTTTGAAGGTACCATCGAGGGATATATTTGATAAAAATGTCACAGCTGCAAGACGACGTCGGGCTTTTTCATATTTGTTGCGATTCGTAGACATGTTTATCGCGGTTTCTTTGAGAAAATAATATCTTAAAAAATATGTTTTAAATGTAATCAATAATCAGATGTTTTTAAATTATGCAAAGCACTGCAGTATTTTTAAGTTTGACAAATAATTATCTCAATGGAATGTCAATGTCAATCTACATGACAGATTGAGGTTTTTATACACACACGGAAAAACTTTTGTTCAATGCATAAGTCCACAAAAAGGTAACCATTACAAGTTTTTATGTTCTTGAGCACTCGTGCTGATTTAGCTAATAAGTACTAAGTACTAACGTACTGATTAGTAATAAGAAGAAGTAGTAGTAAGTAAAAACAAAGTAATGAATTAAAAACAGTAGTATTAAAATTGACATAAGTGTCGGAACAGTGCTTTTAATGTCTAAATAGCGGAAGACTTAAAAAAAATGAACTGTCAAATATCTGTTGTCAACAAAAAGTATATGAAGAAGGAATTTAAGTTCCTGAATATAATAAACTAAATAGTTTTTGCTTGTCTTCAAAATTACAACCATTGAGTCGAATGTCGCCAGCGTGTCAGCAACAACTAGAGCTATTAGATTTATGATGGAAGGTGTAGGAGCCCGTGTAATACGAGGTCCAGATTGGAAGTGGGGCAAGCAGGTAAGTTTATAACGATATTGTTGTTATTTAAAACTTTTTGTTGTGTATATTACAGTACAATTCATGAAAACCAAACTTTGCAGGATGGAGGAGATGGCCATGTGGGTACTGTTAGAAATTTCGAATCCCCAGAAGAAGTAGTTGTAGTATGGGATAATGGCACTGCAGCAAATTATAGATGTTCTGGAGCTTATGACTTACGCATTTTAGACAGTGCACCCACTGGAGTAAAACATGAAGGCACTATGTGTGATACTTGCAGACAGCAGCCTATATTTGGTAAGGTTACTTGTAAAAATTCAATTTCTTTGCTCATCTTATGGCATTCAGAACCTCTTATATCACAGTATCTTTATAGACATGTTAATTCCAAAATCAACTATTTATGTGTATAGTAAATGTATACCAGTATAATAAATGAACAGCCTTTATTAAACATAAGAAGTACTGACTTGCTGTTGGGAACACTCAAGACTCAGAAATTTATAAGAATACATTTCTACATTTTTGTATATGTGTTATTTTAGTTAGTAAATTTATTCCAATTGGAAATTTTAGGTTCTTATACTTAATATTTCAGGTATTCGTTGGAAATGTGCTGAATGTAGCAATTACGATCTATGCTCTGTATGCTATCATGGTGACAAGCATCACTTGCGTCACAGATTCTACCGCATTAGTGCACCTGGAGCCCAGCGCTGTCTTGTTGAACCTCGGCGTAAAAGTAAAAAGAATGCTGTCCGAGGCATATTTCCTGGTGCAAGAGTTGTTAGAGGTGTAAGTAAAACATAAAAAATAAACATTTATACCTTTTAGGAAAACCATTATAATTTGCATTTTAGATTTTAGAAATAAATAAGCTATTGTGAAAAAAGAAATGTTTATAATAGACATATTAGACAGGAAACAGTAGTTAAATACGGGAAATATTGATTTTAATTTTTTTTTAATTTTGCTCCCTTGTGAGTTATTCCAAAAAAGGGATAATGGTACTAAACCCAAATATAAGTCTTATTCAAGAAAAAAAAAGACCACTGTAAACAGATTATTTTGGATGTACAGGATAATTTAAGTGGGATAACTGATTTTTACGATTATTTTACAAAAAGTTAAATAACTTTAAAACTAAGCAAAATCAGGCAACACACTTTGCACTTAAACAATAGCTATTGAGGTCCTTTAACTGCACAAAGTTCTTTATCCGTCCATTAAGAATCACCATGTATAATTCCATAAAAATGGACTCTCATATATGTAACATTTAATGTTGGCTAAACCTTTATTTCTTAAAGGTTGATTGGCAATGGGAGGATCAAGATGGTGGAAATGGAAGACGTGGTAAAGTGAATGAAATACAAGACTGGTCGGCCGCCAGTCCGCGCTCCGCTGCATATGTGGTGTGGGATAATGGAGCTAAGAATTTATACAGAGTTGGTTTCGAGGGAATGGCAGATCTGAAGGTTGTAAAATATCACTTTATATCAAGATTTTTCAATGTAAAGTTGACTTGTAACTTTGATTTTATGATTTTAGGTTGTAAATGATGTAAAAGGTCAGAATGTTTATAAGGAACATTTGCCCCTATTGGGAGAACTTGGCCCGGGACGTACAGGGCCTCACGGCTTGCAAGTTGGAGATCAGGTAAATATGTTTTAATGCAAAATAATTCATTATATTCTATACTTAACATTAGCTTCATATTGTAATATTGGACAAGAAAGACTCGACAATGCCCATTCAATTGGACAAAAAGTATTGTTAAATGTTTGTCATCTTAGCAATTTCCCATCCTTTTTCTATTGAGTTTCTAGTTAACTAACTGCTTCCGAATTCGCCTGTGTGTAATTAACAAAAATAGCCAATGTTACTCACTGATGAGGTAGCTTATTAATGGTGAAATAATTTTTGAACTTGAACCAGTATTGTTTGAGTTATTTCAATACATAGAAATGCAAAGATTTCCTCTTTATAATGTTAGTATAGATTATTACATTGTCTATGGGCTTTGATGTACATATTTAGTGCTGGATAAGAAGTTTCATTGGATTTAGTTTTTTTGGCTATAGAAGATCATCAGTTTCGTCATTTTTATTTGCTAAATTACGTTTAGAGTGGAGCAGTGTACATCAACCGTGATTATTTTCAGGTGAATGTAGACTTGGACCTGGAGATAGTGCAGTCGCTGCAGCACGGCCACGGCGGCTGGACGGACGGCATGTTCGAATGTCTCAGCACCACCGGCACGGTCAGCGGCATCGACGAGGACCACGATATAGTGGTCTCCTATCCCAGTGGGAACCGGTGGACTTTTAACCCCGCTGTCTTAACTAAGGTAATATGAATTCATATTTATGTTAAGGCCTAATTATAGTCCCTTTCCTTTCCCACCATTTTCTTATATGGAAAGGATGGAAAGGAAAAGTGGATTTGACGGTGAAGGACACGCATATAAAGGGGATATATCCTATTATGTGCGTCACCTTTTCCGTTGATTAAGGGTAGGCATCGCAATTGTAATTGTCTATGGGCAACGGTCGCTTCGCCATTTCGGCGGATTCAGGTTTCACCTTATATAAAAAAGAGTGTATTATGTCAATATGTAGGTGTGCAGCGGCAACTTGAGCGCGTCGACGTCAGCGAGC